CCTAACCTCCCTGCTTGCCAATTAATGGCTTCACTGAGGCGCCACGCCTTCTGTAGCCGCAGGGCAGGCCACGCGAATCAGTTGGCCTGGATCTCCGGGGCCGTGCTGCAGGCTGCTGGGATCCCTGGCACTCTATCGATAACTTTTTTTATCTTAGAAATGTAGCCATCTCTGTGAAGCCCCAGCTCAAGGCCAGAGGCCCTGTTCACATATTTTGTGAAAAACTAGTAAAGGGGTGTCTAGCTTAGGAGTGCTAATTTTTCCAGCCAGTGGCCAAGTAGAACAGGGCAACATGAAAAGAGGAAGTTTATCTATACTGAACTCTTTTATAGGGACTCTTTTGCTGAAAGTCCTAAAGTCAGCCATGGTAAAGACTTCTGGAGAATGTCAGTTAAGACTTTTCTGTGGGCCTCGTACAGAGGGGGAGGACGGGGAAGGCAGTGCTGAGAGCAGCTCCGTGGATCTGAGAATGAGGAAGGAGAGATGTAAAAGAATAATAGGAAAGGGGTTTGGGATTTTCCTAGTAACAAAAACTTGAGTAGTAGAACAGGTAGAGCAGAGGGGAAGACTGGAGTGAGTATCCCAAAAAGCCTGTGAGGGACTTTRAATTTTTAGTAACCTGTTTTCAGTGATGACAAAGCAACTTTAAAGGCCATTTTCATTGCATCTTGGATAGGGGTCTGAGGGCTCTCCTCAGCTGGTTTGAGCTTTGGGTTAGCTGGTAAGAGAACCTGGTGGGACCCGGTGTGGGCACTGACAGGAGAAGAGAGGAGTGAATGGGTGGAGAGATACCTCAGTACCTGTTACTTCAGCAAGGGGGCAATGGCCTGAGAACCAGCAGAGGTTTGGGTTCCATCAGGTAGCCCCTGTATGTTTACATCCTTATGTCTTACAGAAGAAGTCGGTTTTTCCCCCACACAGCCGTGACTGTTTGTGGCTTTGATAGTCCACCGGGCAAACATAGTAATCTAAGTTAGCCAACCTACATCTGGCTCTCGTGTCCCTACATCCATAATGTTTGTTTTCATTATCTATGGTAAGGAAGGGATTTAATGGAATTTTAGTGGGATCCTCTTCATCAGGGATACCTAATAGGAAAGACCTATAGCCAGCTGACAAATGTCTGGGTGGAGAGATGGCCACCAGGTCCCTAAGGGGGCTGTATGTGAGATAGATCATACTTTTTGTCCAGTAGGATTTGTGATTAGCCATCCCTGCTGATGAGGGTTAGGACTACTAGTGGTCAAGGGGAGAGTCTATAGCCTTATCCACACGGCGAATACGCAATTTGAGAGGGTTACCAGTCTTTTCCAATTTCCAGCCAGAGTCTGGACAGGGCGCAGGCTTGAGATGAGAGGCATGGATCCAGGAAGTGATTCCGTTTACCTTTACCGCTGTAGGTGTTATAAGTAGCACCTGGTATGGTCCTTTCCAGCGGGGTTCTAGGGATAACACCTGATGTCGTCTTACGTAGATGAAGTTTCCCATTTGATATCGGTGTAGAGTTCCTTCATCCCCAGGTTGGTAGGCAGTGGCCAGCTGTTTCCAAAGGTATCACTGAGTTTTTTCAAGAGCTCTAAGTCTGTCAAGCAAGGGGGTGGTGAAAGGAATTGTTAAGTCTTAGAGTTGGGGTTAGGTCCCTTACTGGAGGAGGGGCACCATAGAGAATTTTATAGGGGGTGAGGTTACACAAAGAAACAGAGGGAGTATTTCTTGTATGAAACAGTGCATAAGGCAGGAGCATAGTCCAATCTTTTATGCTGGTCTCTAAGCTTAATTTCGTTAAGGTCTCTTTAATGGTTCTATTTATTTTTTTTTAACCTGTCCTGAGCTCTGGGGTCTATAAGCACAATGTAACTTCCAATTAATCCCCAGGGTCCTGGTTAACCCCTGATTTACCTGGGCCACGAATGCCGGTCCATTATCAGACCCTATTACCTTAGGCAGGCCGTATCTTGGAAAAATATCTTTCAGGATCTTCTTGACCACCATTTGCGCCATTTTTTTTTTTTTTTTTTGTGGGGAAGGCTTCAATCCATCCTGAAAATGTGTCTATAAAGATTAGGAGATATTTAAATCCATACCTTGCTGGCTTAATTTCAGTAAAGTCCACTTCCCAAAATTGTCTTGGTCTGGTTCCTTGAAGGCGCCTTCCTGCAGGAAGCTTGGAAGGGTAAGTATTAACCAATCGATAGACCCGACAGGCTTGTGTTACCCGTTCAGCTATTTCCTTTCGCTGTGAGCCGGTTAGTGGAAAACTCTGTTCTTGATCCTTCAGGAATGCCTCCAATTTCTTTGAACCAAGGTGAGTGAGTTGATGTACATTTTTAATGTAGTGTAAGGCTTTCTGAAATTGTAGGCTGGACTCAGTAAAGTCGAGGAGTTCAGTGTCTGTGTCCTTATGTTCCCCTGGGGTGGAAAGTGTTAACATGGTTACTCCGTTTAGGGCTGCCAATTTAGCCTCTTCATTTGCCCTCTTGTTAGATGGAGGTGGTATCTGCACAATGGTTTGTTTTCTGGGCCCCTAAGGGAATAGTCCAGGAAGATTACTTCTTGCTGGCAAATTTGGGCCTTTTTAGCAGAAGCTCTATACCCGAGTTGAGCAAGCTCGGATAATAGTGCTTGGGTCCCAGACTCACAGTTTTCCTTGGTATCGGCTGCCAGTAGCAGGTCATCCACATATTGAAGCAGGGTGACTTCGGGGTGCGTAGTTCTGAAGTTGTTGAGATCTCTGTGGAGGGCTTCATCAAAGAGAGTGGGGGAGTTTTTGAACCCCTGTGGGAGTCTGGTCCAAGTTAGTTGATCAGTCGTTCTGGTTTCTGGGTTTACCCATTTGAAAGCAAACAGCAACTGACTATCTTTATGCAGAGGCAAGCAAAAGAAAGCATCTTTTAAGTCCAGAACAGTATACCATTTTCGCTCAGGGTTCAGGGTGCTAAGCAGATTGTACGGATTAGGTACTGTGGGGTGAATGTCCTGCACTCTGTTGTTGGTCTCTCTTAGGTCTTGAATGGGGCGGTAGTCCCCAGTTCCTGGCTTTTTTACTGGTAGCAGGGGAGTGTTCCAGGCCGATTGACAGGGCCTTAGGACCCCTAAGGCCAGATATTTCTGAATATGGGGCCTTATCCCATCTTTAGCTTCTTTGCTCAGAGGATATTGTTTAATATTAATTGGGGAGGCTGA